AACAGATTGAAAATTAGTGTATTGGAGGGAGGGAGGGAGGGAGGAAAGGAGGGAGAAACTACATTATAGCTGTGGGCAATGTGTGCAGCAGCAACATATCTAGCAGCAACACATATAGCACATTCTGTCAAAAATTTCCAACTACTGTACAGTACATTTTTGCTGAAGTTCTAATATCAGAGCATGCTACGAAGTTTAGCACAGACTACATAGCAAGATTTGGTGAAGAGGCTTTTTAATTATGATATCGAAGTTGCAGATTGCTTTCTGCAAGAGATGTGCACTAAGCAACCACATTGTAGCTCTTCTAGTGGAAAAATGAGTTTTTATTTTCCCACTTTTTTTCCAACCATAAAACCTTTTAGGGGTTTTAAAACGCTTTGTACTAATCTCCCGTTGTAGTTGTTTTATATTGCAGCCAGTTTTGCTCTTTTTTTTTCAGTTCATATTTGTATTTTATTTCTTATATTGCTTTATGTTATTTTACTGTAGTTTTCTAAATTGCTTAAAGTATATTGGTATGCAATATAAATACATTACATAAAAATAAAGAAAACCACACTTGTGTAACTAAGGAACCTCTGCAGAATAAAGCATTTTGCTCTATTATGGATTTCTACTGGCTTAACAGCCAGTAAAACCAGTAGTTCCCATGCCATTTTCTTTGTAATGTTTTCTTTGTTGTTCGTTTAACTTAAGTAAATTGCTAAGAGCAGCGAAGCTGGCAAAATACACTATGTTTAGACACAGCACTTTTTTGTAGCTAGGCTAAGGAATTAATCACACACTCGGAAACATGATCTAACCCCTTATTATTTAATTCAACAAATGAGATTAAATTACGTGTGTTTGTGCATGTGGGCATGTGGCAGAAAACATCCTCCTTCTCAGTGTGCATCCTTCTGAAGCAATAGAGTTTCTGCTAGTCGCTCTATGACCATGCCATAGATACAAAAAAATGGGTTTTATAAAATGACAGCCTTATGAAATAAAGGCAATATTTGGCAATAGCAAAACTGCTCAGCTTTTCAGTAATCCACTTGCTAAAGTAGATAATCATGAACAAATAGAACTATCCTTGTGGACAACTTCAGATTTAAGACACCATTCTTGCTGAAATCTTAAATAAGCAAAGTGCATTTCACATTTGAAGGAGAGCCCTGCACAAAGAATTTTAAAAAAAGAAAAAGAAAAGAAAAATAAGGTACAGTATATTTTTGGCTTTTGATTATGGGAAGTGAATAGGCATTAAGGCATAGGTAATTTTGGAAAAATCATAGGGCAGGTATATATTTTCTATGGAAAAGCACAGCATTCATTCACATGCGTGGATGTATGCACACAGAACTGTTGCTTAACTGAAGCATGGTCAATAATGTACCATAACAGTGTAATGATTATAGAAATAAGAAGTTGCTTAACAATTTTTTGCATTGAAGGAGCACCTTGACCTTTAATTCTATACCTTTATTAACCAAATAAAAGCTGCCTAAACAGTTGGGTGTGTGGGTATGAGAAATACACAAAAGAAGTTGCACAACGCTATGAACTCCCTACCAGTTTCACTCTTTCTATTGGTCTAATTACCCAGTAAACCACTATTCTCTTTCAAATTAGGCAAGAAATTTCAGTTTACTTATGCAGCTATCAGCTAGGTGTAACAATTAACTACCAAGTCCTTCTAGACTTGCAGTATAGCATATTAACTTTTTGGTTTGGCAACATTCTTTACTGCTAGCAAGTATTGGGATTCTTAAGAGGGAGAAAAGGAAACGGAAGTGTATGTCTATCAGAGGAATATTCCCCTAATTCCCATTGTATTAGGTGCCAGATATGTAAAACCACAATGTAGGTTTGCTTGAATTTGGAACAGGAATCTTTAACTTAGGTCCTCATACTATATTGCAAATATAATTCCCAGAATTCTGAAAATGGTACTATGACCACATCGGTGGTATACCAGGTTGGGGAAAGTTGACTTGGAAAGAGTTTCAAATTGATGACTCCATGCTACAGGTGTAAAACTAATCAGCCTGCTTGTATAGTGAGAGTATTTGCTAATCTCACACATTATCAGTGGCAACTAAAACTGATGGACACTTCCTAGTCCAAAAGATGCATGGCTCAAGTTCTTATATTTAGAGGAACCTTAAAAACCTCAGCATTTTCAACATGCTCTTGTGGGGACTCTAATTAGTTTTTCTTTTCTTTCTTTCTTTCTTTCTTTCTTTCTTTCTTTCTTTCTTTCTTTCTTTCTTTCTTTCTTCCTTCCTTCCTTCCTTCCTTCCTTCCTTTCTTATTTTCTCTTTTCTATCATCTATCTATCATGTATATCCCACTTTTATTATTTTTATAGATCACTCGTCAGCAAATACATACAATGCTTCTTCCTCCTCCTACTTTCCACACAACAACCCTGTAAGGCAGGTTATGCTGATAGAGAATGACTGGCCCAAAGTCACCCAGCCAGCTTCATCCTAAAGTGGGACTAGAACTTACAGTCTCCTGGTTTCTAGCCCGATGCCTTAACCACTACACAGATTGTACTACCCAAAAGAGGTACAACAGAGGACTACAGTTACAGAGTCCACAGAGCATGGAAGGATCTGCATGCTTTCCAGATACTATGATCTGAGTCTGCAAGTAAGATAAGATCCACATTAATTCTCAAAAACATTTTCCCAGAAGAAAATATCCAGGATGGTTTTTGACCCACAAACCTAAATTATGTCAAAGAATCAGCAGTACTGTTTTCCTTTCATTTTTAATTTTTTTTTTAATTCTATCTATTTATGTCCATTTCTTATTTTCTACCCACAGTTTATTTTGACTCAATACTGACATCAGCCTTCATTCAGTCAGTCACACTAACCAGCTAACTTTGGAAACTGGTAACAGATGGATCCCACATGGAATTATTAGTTCATGACCCAGTGACAACATTTATGGTTCCAAACTACAATAATTCACCAATAGAGTGGGAGGGTGACGGATTACAATAATAGAGCTGCTCCATAAATAAATGACTTCCAAATTGTAACCTCTCTGAGTTAGAAAACAAAATATTAATTTGAAGAATTTTACAAATGTTACTGATTCATTGGAAAATCAATTTATTTGTGCATTTGTGACATTTCAGTAGGGATCTTGATAAAACATTATCAGTATTTCACAAAAGCATTAATGAAGAATATAAAGGGTGGTGTACAGACATATTTATTCAAATTCTACAAAACGTTGCGTCAGTGGTATATTTATTACCACTTGTAGAAGAAGTAAACAGTTTTTTTTTTAACCTCTTGTCTTTCCATAAAGATGAATGCTTGGGATAAAGTCACAGAGAGAAAAAGGATACCCTTATGTTCAAGAGCTGTAGCCAATATTCAATTATGGAAATATAAATAGAGCTGCCAAAGACCTCAAATACGTTTATGATGTTGACGCAATAAAGAAGTACTAAAATAGCCAATGATTCTCATTCTAATAGATATTTTGCTGCCTGAGATATAACACCAAAGCATGCTTGCAACCTTTCATGGACCTTAGCCAGTCATAGTGCCTGAAGTCATCATTATTTTGGTACATGGACAGAAAGCTCCACAAGTATCTTTCCCTTCTGCCATACCAGCAGAAGGGAAACATACACTAAAAAACAAATCGCTGCCCTTTTACCATCCACAACTTCATCTACCTGGGACAGCTGCCTGAGGAATCTATGGCATTCCAGATGTTAATGAATTACAACTCTCAACAGCCCTAGGCATCCTGGGGAGTGATGCAACAATTGAAATTACTGTTCCAAACTACTGGAGAGTCGCAGATTACCCACCCTGCCCTGATGACGGAGCCTGGTTTTAAGGGAAAAACCTTTAAATATATTTCATGCTAAATATCTGTGAATCAGCATTCTCATAGAGTGTGACTTTTTCAACCTTCAAGTGTGCTAATCCAATCAAATCTTCACTTAAAACCTCTACAAAGATAATGAGGCCATCCTGCAGGGACCATAAGGGCTTCTTACTGGACATTCTATTTAGAACTGGACCAATTCATCCAATTAGGAAGCCTTTAACAGGAAAGATCTCCACAGCGGTGAAGTCCTAACTCTCCCAAGGACTCTCCAAATAATGTTATGGGAAAATTGGGAAAGCAGGTAATAGGGTCAAATTCCTGGCATACAAAACTATTGGTTCAACTTGACAGCGTGCAAAGATGAAATCACTACCATCTACAAAATAATCATTAAAAACAAAAACAACACCAGGGATTTAAAAAAATATAAACAATGAAATAAGAGTTTCCTTAAATGTTGCCATTTGTTTCAGCTCCAATGAGGAAAGATGCAGGCCAATCTCACAGCACTGGCAGTAGATGAGAAAATCATTGTAACTACCGCGCTTACACCTGGGTAGCAGGGAGACCTTATCTTCTCCTGGAAGTCCCTTCGGAGGAAGAAGAAAACTATCAATGGGAGTTTACTCTACTTGGGTTTGTTTGTTTGTTTGTTTGTTTGTTTGTTTTTCTTTAAAAGAAGGGACATCGGAACAGGAGTGCCCGAAGGCGAACGGCTCCCACTCCAAATCCACCCCAGACCCGCTTCACCTACTTGGTTGCAGAACAGAAGTGACCCATAGCCCAACAATGTCCCAATTCAGGTGCTTTTTCGAGAGGCAACTGGACTTTCTGGTTTTTCTTTGAAGACGATTCATCCAGGCAGGAAGCTTCTTGGATGAGAAGCGAAACGTCTTCAAAGAAAAACCAGAAAGTCCAGTTGCCTCTCGAAAAAGCACCTTTGGGACAACCACGACCTGGATGACTGAGAATCTCCATAGTCATAGCCCAACAAGAAACTCGGAGCTGGAGCGCACCCACTTGGGAAGCGTAAAATCAAGCGGGCGGGAGAGCGTGAAAGGGACAAGAACCGGTAAAAAAAATCAAGTGGAGAGTCGGCTGCCGTCCCCCTGGCCGAGAGGGAACTCGGCGGAGCGGAATCTCCTTACCTGTTACAGCCCTGAAGTCCCGCGAAAACAGAGCCCATAGTGCCGGCAACAGCAACAGGAGTCCCCGCATCTGCATAGTCTGCTTCATCTCCATCTCTTCCCCCTCATCATTTTTATCACCATCCTCCTTGCGACCTCCAAAGGGCTCGTCTCGCGTCGGACCCCAAAAATTCAAAGTCGGGGAGGAAAGGAAGGGGAGGAAAAGGGGGAAAAGGAGAACGGGCGGGCGGCAAAGCAACAAGGGAGGGGGGAAAGAAGGGAGAGGAAAACCAAGGACGCCCCTTCTTTGAAAGAGAAGGTCCGCGCCCCCTCGATTTGGGCGCGAAGAGGGGCTCGGCGCCCACGCGATCGCGCCCGGCAAGCCCGGCAAAAAAGAAGCGGCTGGAGATGGCAGCGCCAGGCACCCCACCAGCGCTGGCTCGGCCGGCGGCTCTGCTCCCTTTCCCCGAGCTTGCGATCGCCAAGTCGGGAAGGTCCCCCCCTGCCGGCCTCCCTCCCGCAGTGCACACAGTTCATCGGGCCCGCCGAGCCCGCCGAGTTGAGCTTGGCCCGGCGCGGAGCTCCCTCCTTCGGCCGCCGCGACTTCCTTCTGCAAGTCTTGGCATCGGCTTCTTGCTTCTCCTCCAGGAAATGGCGCTTTCAGGAGGCCACAGCTCTCCTGCTCATGACATCACCGGCTTCATGAATATTAATCCGTCGAAGGCTTATCCTATTGCTTTCCTGAACTTTGTTGTTTTTATTCCCCCGCGAAGTGGAAAATAACAGGCCTGCGGCACAGCCAACGTGGTCTCCGGTTTTCAAGGAGAAGGGAAGGCGCGGGTGCGATCTTTTTTCTGCTCGCAGGTTAGTCAGCGAGCCGCAGTTTCTACTCAAGGAGCAGCTCATCCCAAATCAAAGAGGTCGTGATTTGGAAAAGAGAGAGAAAAAGAGGGAAAGAGAGAGAGAGAGAGAGAGAGAGAGAGAGAGATAATAAACACAGAAAGGTCTGTGTCAGACGCGGACAAATAAAGGACTACCCGTTACCAATCTTCATCCATAGAAGGAAGCCAGTAGATCAATAATAATAAATAATGTTTACAGAGGCATAAAACATCGATGTGGATTTTCCTGTAAAAATCCAAAAGTGAGAATGTAGTTTCTTCTTCCTTTTTTTCTTTTTTTTACAGATTATACATTTTATTTTCAGTTTTTATTAGACGTTCGTCGCAGAGTATTTTCCATGGAATCAAAGCATTACATACAAATTACATACAAGGGGCGTGCATAAGCGCACCAATGTGCCTACCGTCCCTGTCGTACTGCCCCCATTTACTCGTATCCATTTCCTGTATTCATAATCATGTTTATACTTATATCTGTTATTTTATGCATGCTTGACAAAATAAATAAAAAATAAATTCATTGGACAGTTTACCCTAATCCCACTTCTCTTTTTGCCCTCTGTTGTTAATGTGGCCAATTAAATGAATGTGGGAAATTCTTCGTTATGAATGTTGTATATTATGTTCAGTGTATGGTTCAGATATTCCCTAATTCCCTGTGTATGGCTGGCCCAAGATATCTGGCTGCCTGAGCTATGGCCAATTATTTTAACACAAAATATAAAAAAATAACCCAACAGCTTCTCATGGCAGTAATACCACAATAATAAAAAATTACATAATGATTTGCTGTTGCTTCACAGTTATCTAAATATAGTGGGTCACTTCACATTGCCGAAAATTGGGGCCCTATCAATTGTATTTTTAAAAAAATGATAGTAAGAAATAGCAAAATCCAGTAAAATATGTAAATATCAGCATTGACAAATTCATTATCAGTTAATTGCAAAAGGCAGCTTTATTCAGAACAGCTTACATCCTATGATGATAAGTAAGACTGTAAGACCATCAAATATCCACATCTGCCTATCCCAGGTCCTTGGGAAAGATTCAATAGATGGTCAAAAATGCCAAATCCAGTGTGAACATCTGGCTGGCTGTGATGAACAGTAATAATAATAAGGGAGACAATTTTTCTGAATATTGTAATCAATAAATAGTTGCCAAGCTCTGTAAGAAAGCCATGCTAGTCTATAATGGTTTAAAAAAAAAATCAGGAATCCGATAGCATCTTTTCTAACTAACAAATTTAAGCTCACAAAAATCTGTTAGTCAGAAAAGGTGCTATCAGATTTTTGATCTTTTGCCGAACTATTGAGTTGGGTTGAGTAATGAAACTTGGTTGAGTAAGGTAACATCTGCAAGAAAACAACCAAGAGCATCAAGGACTCCATAGTTCAACCCGGAGTACACATATTCTCTTCAATTGAAACTGTTGAATTGATTAATGCGTACATAGTGTTGTAATGTTAAGCATGGAAGCTACCTCTTCAAATTCCAGCTGTAACTTCCTCAGATAAATACTTATTACTTCCTTTGGCTACTTTTAGTATTTCCTTTATGAAGCATGATGGTAGGTAGATAAGATTAAGTAGCTTTCAAGGTTGTAATTAGGTTTAAATAAAGAGGAAAATAATACAGAGTACTCTTAATATCCCTCCCCCCCCCAAGCTCCTTTATGTTTCTTACTACCTATATGCATGAAATGTTTAGCTTTGGCTATTGTAATCATAATGCAAACCCTTTTCTGGTTTTGCATAAATGCAATTTTTGACTTGTTTCTGGTTGGTACAATTAATTTATTATTATTTTTTATCCTGATGAAGGGCTTTATTTAAATCTTGATTATATAAAAAGAAATTGAGACTTTCCAAATAAATCATTATCAAAGTTATCTGTTTTGGCAAACTTTAAGATAAAGTGTCTTTCAACTTAAACCCCACTCCTGGTAGATTTCACGGATGTATCCATTCAATTTTCATGCCAACAATGGGGAAGTGGTGGTTGCTGCCTTAGCTTACATATGCCAACAGGGGGGAAAGAATCAGGATTTTTAAAATAGGGAATAAGTTATACTCTCATAAAACACTTGCTTTGTGGTAATATATATTAATCCAACTAGAGATATACAAAATAGTTGTATATTTTCAGATTCCAAGAACTTTTCTTCAACCAGGATGTAAAATAGTAAAAAACTATTTCCATCAGATATGCTGATTGGATGTCAAGAAGCCATAAGTCCTATCAGTATTGTAAGAGTGTTTAACTAATGTTATCCCTTCCTGCCAGCATGATTTTGGCCTGTAAAGCAACCTACTGGTTCAAACCCTTAGGAGCATCATGAAAGTTCTGCTAATTAAAAGTGCCCTTCTAATGCCTAAGTATGAAAATACAGCGGGATAGTTATATAGTAGGATGAAACTGTTTTGCTTATTTGTTGTTTAAATATGTGTTTAACATGTTTTTCATTTAGCTTAGGGGAAAAACTAATTCCACAAATCCTGTAATTCTTCAATAATAAACCTTGTTTCCCATTTGTTATATTTCAAGAAAGACAATTTGTTTTTTATAGTGTTTTTAAAATTCCCCTTTATTAAATTTGAAATCTGGTCTCCAACATTAAATCTATTATTTTATTTTATTAAGGTAATGTGCAGCTATTAATGAAATTCCCGTGTGTTTAAAGTGTCCTGTTGAAGTTTCTGTTTCATAAAACTTTTTCTTAATTTCCGTATTAAATAACACAAAGGCAACTTGAAAAGTATTTGTTTTAAAATATGAATTATTAGGAAAAAGTTAGTAATTCTGCAATTGCTCTGCTGAAATACTTGGACTAGTTTAATACTGGTAGTAGTTTGAATCCAAGTCCGATACATATTTGTGGGAGCCTAGCCTGGGCACCAGTAAGATGTACTGTCTTTCTTTAACTTCCAGAATTCCGTAATTAGTATAATAATTACTGGGACTTTTGAGTCCATCTCAAGACCATAGTAAAAGATTGTTGTAAACTGCCAGTGAAAAGAGCCATGGGAATTGAGGGTCACAGCTGAGTCACATTTGGTGTGTTTGGGTGGATGGATAGATGAATGCATGGATGGATTGTGAGTAAGTTTAAAAGTGAATAAGATGAATGTATCTGAGAATATTTTTGTGAGAAGAGCGACTTTGTGAGTGCAGTTTCACTAACAGTGATATTCATTCCTGCCTCACTTAAGTTGGCAAAGGGTTAGAATAGAATATAGAATTCATTATAAAATCTATAATGAAAAAATATACAAAAAGTATTTTCATGATTTTTTTTCTCAGTGTATATTTAACTAGTAGCAGAAATACCACATATAATGCTAACTACATTTCTTCATTATATGCCTATTCGCTGGAGTTCTCTGGGTACTTCAAAGAAAACAAATAAAACCATGGAAGACAAGAACAAGGGAATATAACATAAGTAATAAAGACACAAAACTAAGCTGGTTAAATCAGCACAGGAGTCTACTGGGAAAGTAAAATCAGACTGTTTCCTAGAAGCAATAAAGCTATAATTTAAGTATTTTGGATTCACAATGTGAAGAATTTGATGTGTGGGAAAAATCGAGGACAATTGAAAATGAAGCTGACAGAGGTCAAGGTGGCCAGATGCTGTCAGTGATGACACAAACAGGAGCTTACAAGAACTCATTTACAACAATCAGTCGTAGCAAAATGATGTCCACGAAGTGATGGAAATGACTGACAACTGCACAGCAAGAAACCTTGATTTATAGCTTTAAAATGTAAGTCTTGTGATGTCACTATAACCTCCGCAGTCATCCCTAAGAAGCCTTTTCTGTGCTTGCTAAAGAGTGTTTCTCAATATAAGGAACCAACTGCTTCTCCAGCATTACACATTTGTTGAGAATGTGAAGGTGCAATGTCATCCTCAGGCCATTTGTTCTACTTCAGAAATTTGCCGGCTTCTGCCACCATAAGCCACGCTGAACAGCCAGTCTCACAATTTAGAGTGGGCACCTGCCCTGCTGTTGTTGGCTACCCGATGTCTGTGGGTGTGTCACCCTTCCAGTCCCTGGCATCTGATTACCATTTGCCCTTTGACAGCAGGAGAGTCAGAGCTCCAAATCCATCTCTCAATTTGCCTAGCCAAGCTATGGATGCCAAGGAAATCAGAGTGAGAAGGGAAGGAAGTGGGGCTTTGGGTGCTGGTTCTTCTTTTCTCCCACAGAAGGTTTTCTTTTCCATTGGAAGGTCACTTGCAGGGATATCTTCCCCCCTCAGCAAGGTGCCATGTCCACTCCCAATGCCTAAGTTGTAAAGGGGCTTTTATAGTCATATAACACTGAAGTTATTGGGCAGGGGGTGGGCAGCTGAACCATGGAGAAAGCAGCCAGCACCCCTGCAGTAAAGTCTCCAACCCTTTCAGGCTTCATTCCATTTGCCAAAGTTACAGCATAATATATGTCCAGCAGGCTACCAGAAGAACTCTGGACACATGTAGAAAAAGTCCCAGCTTGCAATTTAGGCATTGCAGCAAGTTAAACTGCAGGAGTACTTTAAACACTAGGCCAGCAGTCATTCCCTGGAGTGCTAGACACATTTAAAACAACCTTCTGCAAATTTGTCAGTGGCAAAGCTAAATGGGGATGTTGTGGTAGCTGTTCTGTAGGAATGTTCCCCCTTGCAGTATAGTGTTGTTTCCCTACCTGGGGAACTCTGGAGCTCTGCAGCCTGTAGCCTGTAGCCCACTACTGTGGGAAAGGACAAAAAGATCCATTTATCTTCCTGTCCCTGTGGTAAGAGAACCCGGGTCTTCTCCCTCCCCACTGGATTTCTTCTGGGTGGCAGGAGAAGCAGGGGGAAAGCAGTTGCAAGGTTTGCAAGGTGACCTATTCCATTTGTGAGACAGACAACCAACAGCAAAAATCCCAAAGGTCTTTTGCTGCTGGCAATTGGTACTACAAGATCCGTTTTCAACCTGC